TAGTTGATATGTAGTTGCAGAGTCACTTATCAACAGCTGTTTAAAGGGTACCATCAAAATAATCAAACTGATATTACAATAAAAATTGTTCAAAGCAAATGTGTCACACATTCATCTGATCTGATTTTAAGGCTGTTTGAGAGAAATTTTGATTATTATTATTACTACTTATAAGTGGTCTTTGACCGCTTTAAGTAAAGTAGCATAAGAAAAATGGCAAGATATGAGACTTATAATACATTATAACTATGAGAAATATAATCCATTGTAAAAGTGGATGCAACGTGTTCATTGTGTTATAAATCATCATACTCTTAAAAGCTATAACCACAAATAAGTAAATATTATAATATATTAAAACTGTTCTTATGAATATTCATGAGATGATACAACATATTATAAGTTTTTTTATAATGCTTTATGCATTCATTATAATGGCTTACGAATACCTTTATAATGTATTATAAATACAGGCTTCATAGAAAGTGTTACCAACCATTTTAAATTAAACATAAAAAATTGAAAAGTTTGAAGTACTAAAATGACTAAAACTGAAATAAATATAAATTGAAGCTAACAATTAAAAAATAATAAAATGACAATAACAGCATAAAGCTAGCTAAAACTTACACTAAACTATAGTTTATATATACTGAATGATTATATTTAGAAAGTATCATGATATTTTAGTACAGCACAATGGAAATACCCTATTTTTTATTTGAACATGTACCATTGTAATATCAAGGTTAAGGTAGGCTAATCAAAGTACTATAGTATTATGATGGTATGACAGTATATATGGTTTATGCTATATTATTTATACCATTTATACCACACCAAACATAATTTAGAGCCAGAACTATCAGTTTTATAATATTAGCTTCACTATTCTAATTAATTCGTTTTTAACTGAAGTGTTACATAATGTGAAGCTGTTTTTGTACTGATGCCAGACTTATTCATTCATTTGTTATGAATAATCTTCTGGTTATATAAATAAATGTTTGGTCCTTCAAGTTGCAAATAAAATGAGAAAATAATCAAAGTAGCTTGCATTTGTAAAGTATTTAATTCATCAGATTATTAGATACTGTAAGCACTGCACCACATAGTTGTACAATATATAAACCATTTTCAATCAAATGTTCAACAAAAACAACTATATCATGACATATACTGTTAGGTGATATTAAACTACTCATATTATGATCATACCGCCTACTTCTACATGACCACAGTACTTTTTTCTTGTTTTTGAAAAACCTCAGTCTATCACTGTCGTCCATGAAAGATGCCGTTTGTCAGGGTTGTCATGTTAGCTCCACAACCACAGGAACTAAACTTACCAAAACATTCTCACTGATGTGTTTGGACTGAATATTTCTGTCATGCTTTTTCAAAACTAATGCACGGTTTACCTTGTTATCCTTGCATTGAAAATCATCCATTTTTCATGGTCAAAAAGTGGATATAAACAGGGTTTAATTCATTTATCTATTTTAAGTGTCCAGTTGAATTCTGTCAGTCATACAGCACTGGTTTGTCAAGTGCGTGGATGTTAGGATTGGACCTGGATCACAGGCTCTGAGTGGGCTGGCAGAGCAGTCGACTCTTACCATGTGTGATGGTCCTGCGGAGCTCCAGCAGGCTACGGAAGGACAGCGTGGCCACATGCGGTTTACCCCAGCGATCCGTCTCTGCCTCCACGTCTTCCTCAAACTTGATCCAACGCGCCGTCTCTTTCCAGCGCATCTCCTGGTTTTTATCCACTATCAGCTCATTGAGCTCCACAAACACCTACAGAGAACACAGTGTCAAATGCACATCATAAAGCACTTGTAATGAATCCTAACCAAAGTTACTTCGAGGCAATTCATTTCACTTGGCGGCCATCATGGAAATGCTCCCCGGGAGCTAATTTCTAGGAAATTGGCAAACAAGTACAGCTCGGGTTGGAAGGGGAGCAAGACTGAAATATTTTGCAAACAAAGTATGACAGCGATATCATAAATCTTCTTTCGTTTTAGTATTTTCCATTCTAAAGTAAAAACACAGGTGATGGATCTATCAAAATGACTGAAAACCTTTCAAGACAGACCTACCGTGAGCACCGAGGTTGTTACGTGATGATTTACGCTTCTGCTGAAGCCACAAGTCAGTGAGATTTCAATCAATTTCAGTTTCATAAAACAAAAGTTTTATGAAGGTTTCATTACCGAATTCTCAGTGTTAAGAGCTATGCAACCAACAATCCTAAAAAGATGACAACCAATCAGAGAAGTTACCATGGAAACCAGCACAAATCTTTTACTCCCATGAAGCATTGCAAATGACATAATCGAATCAGTCTCCCTTCACTCACCAACTACTTATATCTCTGTATATGATTAAACATTTAGCAATAAAAGTTATAAATATATTCAGAAATATTTGGTATTTTACGCTTATGACTAGGGCTGTAGCTATCGATTATTTTAGTAATCGAGTATTCTGTCGATGATCCCATCGATTAATCGAGTAATCGGATAAGAAGTTATTTTTCTTTATTAAAGAGCAATACTAAATATACAAGAGATAATAAGATAGATCTCTTAAAATAAACAACTAATTTGTTTTCTTTTTAGAAAAATTAACATTTTTATTGCTGAAATTGCATACATTAATAACCGTGAAAACGAAACCCATTTCATGTATTTAATTGCCAAATTACATTCAAAATGCAAATACAAATATATCAATAAAAAAATTTAAAAAATACATAAAAATACAAAAATCTATTTCACATTACTTTAAAAAAGGTAAACAGTACAAACTAAAACTAAGGCATAAATCAACTGTGTGCGTGTCAGTTCACAGCAGTGATAGAAATTAATCTGTTCCAATAAGTTTACATTACATTTTACATTTTATGGGCATTTTTACCTTTATAAACCCTTTTTTTCTAAAAGTGTGCATCATCTTTAATTCTTACATCTTACATTTAATCAGTCAATTAGAATAAAA